TAGCAAACATTTTAGGCAAAAAATAGCTTGTTCTAAGGGATTTTTGAACAATTAACCAACTTGAGAAGTATCAACTATAAGCATTTAAGTGATAATCTTCAAAAGAAAATGATACTTCTTTATATGTAAAACAATGCCTTAATAACCAATCAATTCTCCAATAATATAATTTCTTATCTATAAGAAAAAAATGGATATTATTCACTCTAATCTTTTTTTGTTTATTTTTTAATAAGACATTGAATAGTTATTGAATATTCAAAAATTTGGCAATATGTTTATACCATGTGGATGCTACTATAACATGGAACAAATATGCATTAGAAAGTTTATCATCTATAGTTTGGGTATCTATGGTTGTAATAATTGTGAGAGGTAATTAGCTTATTTGTGTTATTTTTTCAGTTTGTGTTGTACTACATAATCAAATTTTGTTAGTAATTTCAATAGATACCACCTCCAAATGGTATTTATTGTAAGTTCAAATCTCTTTTTTGTTGCATTTATAATTCTAATGGTCCCTCTTTATAGCTTATAGATCTTCTCAATATAAAAATTATTGTTATTATAAAAATGATCTAATAATTGAAAGTTGTTTCTACAAGAAATGAATGCAAAGCTTATTATTTATATAAATCTCTCTATAGACTAAATAAAACTATTTAAATGAAATCTAATTTCTATAATAATATTTTAGTCTCCAATGATTTATTTATTTATGTTTAAAAAAATATTCTATATTGGTACCATATCTTTATTTTTAAATCAAAAATCTTACATTACTTTCTAATGATTTTTTATCTCAATACTATTAAAAGTCTTTCTTATTTGAATTAAAATATCTTAAATATTTTAGTATATTTTTCTATAAATAATTCCAATACTATGTCTATTCCTCATAAGACTAATATTTACTAATTAAGTATTAAAAACTTTCTAAGAAAAGTGAGAGATATTAAATTAATAGCTTTTAATTCTTGAGTATTTATTTTTAAAAGTTTATAGTATCTTAGAATATGTACAAGGTATAAATTAAACTTTGACTTTTGTCACAGTTATAATTAATAGAAAAACTAAGTTTTTTTTTTATTGAATAGCTTTAAAGAGTATTTTTTGCTACTGAAAAAGAATAAGACATTATGAACTATGTTTCTTTATTTTTTTATTTTTCTACATCTTCTTTGCAATTCTATTAATAAAAAAAATTATAAAAGAGATCTTTCATCTCAGATATTAATTGTTGAATATTTTTTAGAAGTTTTTTTTTTCTAAGTTGACATTGTAAAATATATATATATATATATATTTATATATATTATAGTAGTAAAATCTAGCATAAAAGCCAAATACGTAGTTGTAGCAATGCATTAAAAGCTTTAATGTAGCTGCAAATATTATCAAAAGAGATTGAAAAGAGTGTATCATTGACAAGCACAATTAATTGTAATAATCGATAATGTACATTTTTTAAATAATAATCTAAAAAATTACAGTTGTATTAAATACATTAATATAAAATATTATTGTGTTTAGAAAAAAAATAAAGGTAATTAAAGTTATATTGTAATATATATTAAGAAATGAAAAAATTCTATTACAATGACAAAAGTATTAAGAAAGAAGATAAAAATTATAGAAGAAAAATATTGGCTGAGTGAATCAAAGATTTTGAAAAAATGCACTAATTAGGAATACATATTGCTGAGCTATCATAAACAAAAATTATATAATAATTTACACAATAGAGTACATGGTTGTTTAATATTAAATTTTCTTTGATAAAAGGGAATAAGGACTAAAAATTTGTATTACAACTTTGACAAATAGATATTTCATCATGTGTTATCCTTTATTTAACTAATAAACAAACTTTTAGTTAACAAACTGTGTTTTCCTACTAAATTACTAGTTCCTCATGTATTGCTTTGATAGTAATATCACTCTTCTTTTATTTAAGCCCATTCTAAATCTTTGTGCATATTATTTAAGATTATGAACCTAAAATCAAAAGATTTTAAAAATATCATACACAAGTATAATAACTTTTTAGCCTTCACTTTTCTGAGAGAAAAATCTATTGATTTCTATAGGCAAATTATTAATAATTATATATGTCAAATACAAATAGCATTGTGTTGTAATATAAGTAGTCTTATTCCTAATGTAAATAGCATCCCTACTATCTCTAGTTTTAATTTTCTATAGATTCTTTAATGCTAGAAATGTCAACAATAAAAATATATATTGACCATACTTTATAGTATAATTTTATATACATATTTGCATATTCAGAAATAAAATTTGATATTATTTTACAAATATGTGGTAGAGTATTTACATTTTTATTTCAATAAATTTTTTTTATATCAAAAAGTTTATGTGTACATGAGTAGAAATGCATTAAATCAATACTTTTATATCTGCACAAAAATAAAAATAAAATAAAATAACTATAAAAAATATAAAAAAAATATAAAAAAAAAACATGTTGTTAGATTTCTATAAATAAATAAAAAAAAAAAAAAAAAAAAAAAAGGAAAAAAAAATGTATAAAATTAAAAAATATATATTTCTATTTTTTAATTGAAGAGCCATTTATAAAAATTATTAAACCACATAAGACAAATAAGTTTTTGTTTTTTCATTATATTTTGTTATAAAAAATTATTATTTTTTAAAATTTATCGAATAAAAATTTTAAAATCATAAAAGTTTAATAATAATAAAAAAATAAATAATTATTTAATTAACTTTTAAAAAATAATATATTTTAATTTATATTACTTACATTTTATCAATATAAAGATATTTACATTTATTATTGTAAAAAAATCAATAATATATTAACAACCTATATATATATATATATATATATATATATATATATATATATATATATATATATATATATATATATATTAGTTATTTAAATTTCAAAATTGTTTCAATTAAACCAACATTCAATTTACATTGATTGAATTGATAATTGGTTAATTTTCTTCAAATTGATTGAAGTTTGAAAAATGTAAGAAGGTATTATTTTTGTCTTAGATTTTATAAGAAGTTGTAGGTATGTGCACTAATACTACTAAAATTCAATGAAAATAATTCAAATTCAAAATTTGTTAAGTACTTTTTTATTTTGTATTTGCAACCCATAATAGTTTAAAATTTTAGCATAATTGTTAAAAAAGAATAGAATCACCTTACATGGACTTGATATTATTTTTTTAATATATTTGCAAAAATTAAAATTTTAAAATATATATGATAAATCATTAAATTTATTAACTAGATTTTGCACATATTTGAATTATTTAATTTGAAAATAGTTTCTTCCTTTACATGCACATTTTTATTATTATACATCATAATTGCAAATAAAGAGATCCAGTTTTTTTTTATATGATGTTTTCAATAGAAATTCAAAATATCAAAATAAAACCCCAATCTTCTTCTAAAGTTCCAAATAGATAAATTGCTTTTACAAATATATATTAAAAAATATATAATTAAAATAATGTCAACAAAGATATCTAAAAGAGTTTCTAGAATAGCATTACAAAAAATCAAAATATTAAAAATAAGAAAAATAATAATACTTGTGTTACTTAATATTATATTCATAGTTTTAAATAATTATATCATTTGTTAATATTTTAATTAAAATATTATTTTTGAAGTTTGTTTAATAATGATTATTTTAAAACACTTCTTGAAATATATCTAAATCATGTAGTGTTATTACTTTGATTTTTTACAATGAAATTTTTACGTTTAAGAAATATGCAGCATCTTTTAGAGATGACGAAAGAACAAAAAGAAAAAAATTAAATAATTAAATAAAAAATAAAATAAATAACTCTCAATTACAAAAAGGATTTTGCAAAAAATATCTTAAGTTATATAAAGTTGGTAGTATTCTAATAGAAAAGAAAGTTACATTTTAAGTAGAATTTTATATTTAGAATGCATTTGAAAAAGACTCAAAGGAAGTAAATGTATTAGTCAAATAATACGTGAACTAGCAACCAGAAATAAAGCTAAAACTGTCTATGGAGTATTGAGTAGTTTGAATCTATTAGAATAATATTTTGTATAAAATACGAATTGACATTTATTGTAGAAAGATTTTTGATGGATACTAAAAGAATAAGATTAATACATGTATCTCAAACTTTTATACTAATTTTTTTTATAATAGTTGTATGACATTATATGCAAGAAGGTTATGGAAACAATAGATTGACTGATAACTTACATAATTGAGTTTTATGTTTTGAATTTGTAGTTACATTACTTTGCAAAAATTATTATATGAATTGGAAGAATATCACAAAAAGATGCATGGCACACAAAGCATAGAAGGTAAAAAAAATATGTCAAAGATAATTTTGTATCATTTTTACTAAGAAAAATAAAAATTAACAAATCAACATAGTGGAATCCCCACTTTATCATATACGTAACATGCAATGGAAAAAAGATATGGGTAAAAACAAATTGATACTTTGAAATAGACAACATAAAAAGCAATTTGAGTGTCTATCAATGTATATTACATGAATACATGAATCAAAACATGCAGGGATTTCTGCACATACTTTTAGAGAGAAAACATAGGTGGGCTACAAAAATAAAGCTATCTGTTTAACTTATAAGGGAATAAATTAGTCTCGCTTTATACTATCAAAATGCACTCTATACTTCAGGTATACAATAATTGTCTTACTTCTTTAAAAATATACTACAAAATTTAACACTGATAAGTCTGTCGCTGCCTAGAAAAAAAAATTAAACAACTAGAAAACTATTAAAACCCGAGACAATAAAAGTGATTTTAAGGTATATTTTTGTTAGTTGGATTTTAAATCGAAACTTGAAAACCACATTTAGACATCTAACACTATACTTCCACATGCTACAAATACCAGATATTCGATATGGTCAAACATACAGCTTGTGAATCAACTTGAACCACGAAGAGTATTATCAGCATAATCAGGACTAAGATAAAATTTCATTCAACACACACAACATTGTTCAATACAGAAAATATCCTTGCACTAACCAAGTACATCTGTTTCAAGGGGATTTCTTTCACTGGCTTGACCCTAAAACGTACAAACAATGTCGACAATACTGCCTTCTCTCTTTATCGTGGTCTTTATGCAATAAACCACAGAGATTACTATTTACATACTCTTCCATACGTGACAAGTGTGACCTACCTAAACTACTTGTGTACAAAAAGTTTATCTTCCTACCGGTGCTCAACCCCGTCAACAAATGTAAACCTGCGTACTCAGCACAAGGATGAATTCCCTGCTTTGAACAATGTGGTGACTGAAAGAACAAGAATCAGCTCTTTCATCTGGTGGGAACTACAACACCACCTTCCTAAAACGGATTGAATGGTAAAGGAGGAGAATTGACGAAACAAACACTGCCAAGCTGCGAATCTGCTTCTAGTGAGTCATCCAACTCAAGAACGTTAGCTGCAAGGCTGAAAATAAGCACTAGGAATGGTGCCATTCCAGGCTGTGACTACTAGAAGCATTTACTCCCCCGGACCAAAAGAATAACCCATCATATCTAATTAAAAAAAGACTTCATCCGAATTATCATAATTCTAGAGGCCCCATAAGTATTCTTCTAAAACACTACGTACACCCAGCTGTTAAGGAACATGGATTCAGCAAAACTTGCTGTAATTCCCACGTGCCTTTGCTTCAAAGGCCACGTATTTGCCTGTATGGGGAATCCAAAGACTAATTCCCAAACTAGATAGATGAAAACATCTTTGTCAAGTACGTGACTATCCCACTTCCATTAAAAAAGATTTTTTAACGAAGAAGAAGTAGAAGAAGAGAAGAAAAAGAAAGACATGTTGGCCAACAGCAATTACCCTCGTTCAGACCAAAATGTAGTCCTTTATGTAACGGGAGTGAATAAAGGCTTGCCAGAAAAGTGTGCCTCCAAATTTCCACTGACAAGATCGGCCATAGCCCGCCGAGTATCCAAGGTTCCGCTAGCCACATGAGGGAGCAACACAACATTATCCATATTCCAGAGCTCCTGAGGAACATGAGGCTCGTTTTCATAAACATCCAAACCTGCTCCACCCAACCTACATTCTAGTAGAGCTTTTACAAGCTCGGGCTCGTCAACGACGCCTCCACGAGATATATTTACAAGAAAACCCTGCTCGAGAAAAGGACATCATCAACGCAACACTTCAGCTTCAGTGACCCCTCCTGAAGAAAGAATAGTCTAAAAGAGCCTTGGGGTTGACCTTAAAAGCTTAATGATTGAGCGTGAAAGCTAGCAAGATCCTAAAACGCAATGAACCATAACGAAACGAAATGCAGTTGATTAAGTACAATCACAATTGAATATTAAAGTCTGACGAATATTATACCGTCAAAAATGGCAGTGCCCAAACATACAACACAAGATTAAGACAAGCAGAGATGATTTCACTGACCTCTGGACCCAGAGCATCCAGCACTCTTTTATCAATGATCTTAGCCGTCTCTTTAGTGAACGCACAACAGACAACGAGCATATCTGAGTTTTTGGCGAGCTCCAAAACGCTACCATAATACTCGTACGGAACATCCTTCTTGTCCGATCTTGCATAATATTTGATTTTACAACCAAATGCCTCTGCCCTCTTCGCAACTGCTTTTCCGATGCGGCCCAATCCAACAATACCAAGGTCCTTCCCACTCATCTGTAGAGACGCATGCGATCACATTTGAATTAGCTGAAACGGGGCACTATGTCGAACAGTAAAATTCAGAATAACTGTGAAGTTATTGTATCATCTGAAACGTTCCTTCGGCTGAGGAGATTGTATCATTTGAAACTATATCCACCCACATTTGGTTCACTGCTCAACGGCACCTGCAATTACATTCTGCTTATCACAAGTTTTGGAAGATTGTTACAAATTGAGTGGAGAGTTTGGTATGAGAAGCCAAACGTCGTTACTAGAAGAAATCGTTACCTTGTAAGAGAGCGGATAATCACCCTGCTTCGGCCAGCAACCCTTGCGCACGTATCGATCGGCAGAACAAATCTGTCGCATTGTAGTTAACAATAGTGCAATAGCAAGGTCGGCACAATCATCTGTGAGTACATCCGGAGTGTTCGTGACAGCAATTCCTCTTTCTTTGCAATAAGCTACGTCAACCTGTGAAATCAAGACAAGTACATAAGACAACTTGGATGCTTACAGCAATGGAGATTAAATCAGCTACTCAAGGGACGAGGCTGTGATCTTTACCAAATCCGACCGCAGCAATTATAGCCAAGTCTATCAATTCCTACCACAGGAATCAGATCTACATTTCTAATTCGGACAATCAGTTTAATACAGTCTATCCAGAGTCCTCGATCATTAAGGACGACAGAGACATGTCACTGTGTTAAGTTACCCCGATTTCGCCATTTACGGAACCTGAACGTATTCACCTCACACACGATCAGGTTCATGATGATTAAATTTGAGTGGTAGAGCGTACAAAAATCCTTTACTGAAATTAGTGGTTTGTTACATCTGCAATTAGACTACCTAGGTTGTACAACACGATTTTCTGAGTCGGGCAGTTGATCAAGGCATTTGAAGGTAACACAAGTAGAGCTTTAATCGCACTGTTCCACCACTTCGCAATGTGGTCTTCACTTAAGCAAGGGTACAAGTTCAATAAACAATTGGGGACGATATATTTTCCATTAATAATTGTCCGTGCCGATCGCATAATTCAATGTGATAGGGCAAGGCCGCGTACTAACGGCGAACCGTATACAACTGTTTAAAAGGCTTGTCACACACTAAAAGATGTATGTACATTTATTCTTCGAGACCATAGGTGATTCCGAAAAACAAAAAATCACAAGACAGTCTTCCTGGAAGGAACTACAAGATTCTTGAAAGACGGGTCCACGACCAAAAAACCACAAAAAAAACATTATCAGGCCAGTGGGTTGTAATCTAATACGTGATATGTAGCAAGGAATTCAAGAGCCGAAATCTTTTTTAGTCATGCTCTACTCTATTTTGGGCAGGGGCAAGGGATGTTAATTTACATACACGCACTATGAATCAAGAGGTTTGAACACACTAGAACTGGCCTACCTTCAAGTAATCCAGGATCTGTTCGACGTGATCTTCGCATCATTTCACAACTAGAGGTTCGAAATAATAAATCGCAGCTCTCACCTTATCCGTTCCGACGCTGAAGCTCGACACAATCTCAACCTTCGGTAGCTTCTCAAGGAGTTTTGCATCGACAACGGAGTTAGTTGAAGTGACCACAGCACGGACACAATCCGCTACACTCGCCAAATATTCATCCTTATTGCTCTGCTCCCACAAAGGTAATAAATTAAACTTTGATTCCAGGGAGTCGCGCAGATAGGGCATCAACAATGCCATCATAAGCACGTGAGGTTTGCCATTCGGAGAGGCTGCTTTGACAGCCATGTTCTTAAATGAACCCCTCGTCGCCTGGGCAACCCTAGGCGCTCGTGGGGAGGGAATTGGAAGAAGGCGATTAATGGTTGAAGAGGGAGTAGAGAAGGAGGAGGAAGAAGAAGAAGAAGAAGAAGAAGGAGAAGAAGAAGGAGAAGAAGAAGAAATCACGATAGGCAACAACGAACGAAGCTTACTGCGCTGTAATCCAACCCCAACAAAATGGTAGCAAGGAATGCATGCGTGCATAAGGAGAGGACAACGTCTCGCCGCCTGGACAGCCTACAAACACTCAAGCAACTATGGTAGGTCAATTGGTGGTGGTGGTGGCGGTGGTGGAAGGAGAAGAAGAAGAGGAAAACGACGAAGAAGTAATCACGATGGACAACGGACGAAGATCACACTGGTGTAAATCCTCTCTCCACAAACACACGCGACCATGTGGAAAGGGGATCGTCTCGTCGTCAGGCAGTCTAGAAACACTGGTAGGAGAAGAAATATAGAAGCACAATCGATAGAGGCAGAGAAGGAAGAAGGACAGCACCAACAACAACAACAAAAAATCACGATGGGCAACAACGGACGAAACTCAAAGCGGTGTGATCCTCTCTACTAAGAATTAGCAGCACAGAATGCATGTGTGCATGAGGAGAGGGGAACGTCTCGTCGCCTGGACCGCCCAGGACACTAGAGCGGAGAGAATTGTGACAAGGCGAATGGTAAGGGCAGAAAAGGACAGAGAAGGAGGAAGAGGAGACAAATGAAGAAGAAGAAGAAGAAGAACGACAACAACAACAACAACAACAACAACAACGAATCACGAAGAGCAACGACGGACGAAGCTCAGTGCGGCGTGATCTTCTCTCCGAATAGATAGAAGCACAGAATGCATGCGAGCATGAGGAGAGTGGAATACTAAAGAGAAAAGAAAAACAAAATAAGCAAAAAAAAAAAAAAAAAAAAAAAAAACACACACACACACACAAATCAAAACAAAGAACTGCGTGGGCGGTAGCTTCAACCCTTCCATCCAGTAGCAAGCAGAAGCTCCGCAGGAGAGAGAAAACAGAAAGATTTCTTTCCAGTGTCATTCGATCCTCGTCGCAGTGACTGGCCCAACGCAGCCTCGATCTCCATCAACGGCCTGTGGCGGCCCATTTCCAAGCTCGTTTCTTTCCGCCATTTTCGATCTGGCATGAATATGGACGGTGGAGAGAGACGTGAGATTCTGCACCTCACGATGGTCATTTGGTACACATTGCCCCCCGGGCTCCGGTGACCAACCCCGAGTCAGTCAGTAGTTCCACGCCCACAGTGGATGCGCTCGGTAGGGCGATCCAGGGTGAAAGGAATATCAAGTACAATGGTTTGCATTGCACCGAAATTCATGGGTGGAATCTACAGACAGGGTACATATAAAAAGGAGCCCGGGTGGGGTCAGGAAATCGCGGGTTGTGGGGGTTAGCGAATCGGTTTCCAGATTCGCAGCCTATATTGGTGGACATCGTCCAATGAGAGAAGACCTCGGTATCTTATGGCCGTGGGTCGTGGTGATGGGTCCCTGGGGCTACTACCGCAGGGGTCTGAATGTAGTTCGATGATGAGGGGAAGTTTGAGTGGCAGTGCGTGTTCTATAATTGTTTTACGAATCAGTGCCTTCACAGTCCGGCTCTCTCCAACCACTCGCTCTCTGGCTCTCCTCGGTATCTGCACCGCTTGGCCCCTTTCAGAGCTGTTCACGACGCACGCATTCCCCCACTTCTCTCACTCTCTCTCTCTCTCTCTCTCTCTCTCTCTCTTTCTACTGTGCAGTGCCCAGTGCGTCGGAGCCATTCCTGGCCGCTTCTTATTGCAATTGCAACATTCTCTGAGTGTGTTGTATTATTCCATCTGTTTCAACAACTCTTCTAAAAAGTCCCGCCGATTCTCATTGGGTGCTGTTCCGTGAGACACCAGCCTGGTTGGAGAGGGCTCGCAATGACTGGGCGTGAGTGAGCTCGATCCAGCTCGAGAATCCATTCATATCACGAGTACGGTGCGCCCATGTACCGCAGCAATGTATGAATCCCTGCGTTAAGAAGGAGGGGGGAATGAGTATGGAAGTGTAAAATGAATTTATATCAGAGAAAACAATTGTGTGATTTTTGCCTTCATGATGACTGCGAATTGATCGACCGTACTAGAGTTTTTGCACGGTCTAGTTTGCACGAGATCGCAAGTGGGTCCTGAAGCAGCACAGGTTATGAGCCTTCGACAGGTAATCACCCTGGACATTCGCCCCACAGGGCATGCACTCCCAAAACCCTCAGCCGCAGGAGTAGAATATAAAAACAACAGCCATAAGTAGCTATAAATAACCCTATAACCTCCACCTCCATCACTATGGCGGCTCCAATTTGCTCGAGATACTGTCGTGCTTGGCGACATAGAGTAAAACCAGGAGGATTTCACCCTCCCCGGGAGACCCAATTCATTCACCTCGGGTACACCTACGCTAATCAAAAGTAGACATACTGAGATACAATTTCCCTGCATTCCGAGCAATGGGGAATATTGCCCCCACCCTCTGACATGCCACTCCGCAAAGTCACGCCCCACGAGGTCTGAATTCGGCAATGGAATTAATGGTAAACCGAACCCTAATTATGCAAGGCCACTCCCCCGGAAGGCGTGGCCAGATCTGGGTTAGCTTTTGGTGGGCCTCTAGAAAAAGCAAAGATAGTTTCAGATACTCTGGTTCGATTTTAATAACCACCGGCCCTCCATTGTCGAGATTCCCTGTGCTGGAAAGCCCACCGCTGCTCCGCATTCGATTCCCTTTCCTTCCCTGTCAATCCTCGTGCTTTTCACTCCCGGGGTGAGCGAAGAGCAAGGGAAAAACCAAGCCTCCCCTGGCTCCAGAAGCTTCCGCTTCAGCCGATATGTGGGCTTCCATCGTTGCGTTGCCAGGATTCTGCCAAAGCTGCAGCAGTAGTGGTGGCAAGTGGCATTTGAATCCCGGAAGAAAAAGTAAAGTTTAAAACTAAAGCTACAGTTAGTTTCTACAAGGACATTGTTCGTACAAATAGGGCTATAAAGAGGGGAATAAGAACAGGGCTCATGCATGGTATGTGTTGTAAATCAATCTCATGCTAATGAGCATAAGAACCCTCACTCCAGTGTTATTCTGGAAATTATTTAAGTTGAGTTGGAGCGGTGAGGTTTGTATGTAGAACAAAATAATGACAAACATAATTTGCAATGGGTTCCTGCCTACGTGTTCTGGAGGCCGAAGATTTCAGGTATATAAATTTTAGCTCAAATTGAATACATCTCTTTCAATTTGAGCTATAGAACCCAAGGTTTCCTTCCAGAACCAAAATTGATCAATTCTTAAATTTCAATGCTTTTGAAATTTGAAAGCCAGTACAACACCATGGAAGTCTCAAGTGAGTTGTCAAAGTTACTTTCTACACAATGGATTATGACTTCAAAATGTTGTCATTCCATTTCGTAACAAAGTCCCCTAGCATTCAGCTGATTTTGTATGTATGTCTTTCTGTATAAACTGTGACTATTTAAATATTTGCAGCAGTTTCGTTTCAGAAACACTGTTTTACATCAAAATCTATGCAATAAAGAGTCGTTTTTGGTTTTAAAGTATTAAAATAAGTATAAGTCAAGACCTCGCATTATTCAGCCGTAGCGTCATTCTCCTCTGAGAGAGAGAGAGAGAGAGAGAGAGAGAGAGAGAGAGAAAAAAAAAAGGGATGAAGAAAATGCCGATGAAAGAAAAAGGAGAAAAATAATACTCAACAAGGGAATCTCCCTGTCAAACAGACTTGCAGTGCCGTTTCATTCCTCTCCACCAGTGCCCCCCCCCCCCTGCCCTCCTCGCCTGCCGCAGTCAGCACAAAGCTCGAAATCCCCGTCTCTTGGAAAAGCCACACTGCAGGCTGCAGAGCTGCGACTGACTGCGCTTCTACTCCAGCCTAGGCCAGGTTTAGGGTTAGGTTTACAGCGATACGAGGTGGGGAGAAACACTGGCGATGGAGCGGAGAGGAAGAAGAGCCTCGAGGCTCTTGCTTTCACATCACCTCAAAACATAAAATTCTCCTCTTATGAATTTGATAATCTATTTAATTAAATTCTGCCATAAGCAGGAAACAACTGCAAGGTTTTTCCACTTTCTACTTTGAAGAAATGATCTCAGATTGATTTTACATTTTAAATGAAATATGTTTTATTTTCGTGTAAAACGCAACAATTAACAAAGAGGTGGAAACGATCAACTCAGGCAGTGGTTTGTAAGTTGGTTACATGTATACATATATATTTATTTATTTATTTATATTTTATATAAAAATAAACACACGGTGTTGATGCAAACGGGGTTCTTGTTAATATTATTAATAGCACGGTATTTGCTTAATGACAACCTGTATATCTTTCAAACAAAAAATCTTCTCTCTCTCTCTCTCTCTCTCTGTATGTTTAATTAACGGGGGAAAAAAAAAAAAAAAAAAAAAAAAAAAAAACTCAATCAACCTCTAGATTGACGTTTTTTTAGTTCTTCGTTAGAAAAATGCAGTATTCATGTTTAAGTATATCGTGGAAAATGAAAACAGTACGTAGGAACACACATAGTTCACACATTGTACTTCATGCTACTACTTCATTACATATATTTCAAATTTCAAGTATGGAATTTGAAGTGAAAGAGAGAGATTCAATAGTTGTGATATTTATAGGAATATACACGATATTCATGAATATTCATACCTTTCTTGGTTCTAATTATTGATTCTAAATATTGAACCATTTAATGACAACGAGTCAAAATTTTCCATTGTGGCACTATCCCTTGACTTACTCGAATTATACTCATTCGAATATAGACGATATACATCCCTGGCTTTCAGGTATCCCTCAGTTCATAATACAAACAAGATCTGAAGAGATCACCGCACTCCCGTTTTAAAGAAGAACGAAGAATAACAAACCCCACTTTCATGGCAACAAATGAGACCCCAACAGACGAATGAATAAAGTTCAATCCTGCAGGGAACATGGATACTTTTCATCCGTCGATGAGGAAGAATGTCTGAACGCACTCGATGATGAATGTCACAAATAGGCAGAGAATCTAGAAAAGCGCTGGAAAAAAGTTAATGACATGCCCGCCAGAAGATTCAAAGCACCTCTTGCGCGAAGAGAGTATTCCTTTAGCGTTCTGACACATGGTCGTGAGGAGAGGTTTTTACTAGTAAGTCCCCGCTATTGTGTGGAGGAGACGGAGACACGTGTCGGCTATAGGCGCTCAAGGCATATTGGAGCAAATGGCCACAACGGGAAAAGAGACAAGGTCGATTTAGTCTTTTTAATTTATTCACTATTTGTTTTATGCTATTTATGTCACATGATATTGTTATTCAAATCATTGACTGATACACTGATTCTCAACCAAATTAAAATCAAAATTTGATTTGCTTGTTTGTTAATTAGGGGTGAGATGCTTTTTCACAGAACGAGTCTTTATCCCTTTTTCTTCTTTCTCCTATTTCTGAGTCAGTGTGTGAAACAAGGAAGCACTAATACTAAGACATGATTGGGTCTTGTATACTAGTCTTTATTAATAAGATGGAGGATGCAGAATGTTTGGTGTACGTTACAGGAAACAACTTGTCACAAGGACTTTGGTCTTAAATTTTAATATAGATTGGATTTTTTTTGGATTTAATATAAAGTCGCAATACACAATGATGCCCATGTTGTGATTTTTGGGTCAGTGAATAACAAGGCTGAAAATCAATTCAGTGAGCAGTGATGAGCAATAATACTGCAATGTGTAATACTTAGAGACAAAAAAAAAAAATGAATCCACTGTACCTGAACATAATAACCCTTAAAAAAGAAAAAAAAGAAAAAACAACCCAATCAGAGACTTTTCTGAAATATGAA